GAGGAGGGGTTGTTTCCAACTCCTTCTTGGAGTTCTTCCTCAAAAATAGAAAGTCCTAATCTAATCCTATCCTTATCTCTTATCTAGTAATCTCAATCTCCTTTATCTTTCTAGAATTACATCAGAAAATTAAATCTGATAGGACTCTTTATTCTTGCATTCGTATTGGGCTTCTTTAACGAATTGGGTCGTTGCAAGGCTTCTCTGCGAACTGGGCTTCTCTACAAATTTGCTTAGACTTCGGGCCCGATTTTGATCTTGATGTAGTCCGAATCTGTCAAAACTCAAAACATGAAAGTTGTATAGTTCTTCCTTATCTTTCCAATTCATTTTGAATCATCTCAATCGGAGTCCAGATGGTAGAGTTATGCCCAGATTATTACGCGGCGCCGAAACTGTGCAAAATTACCTGATTAGCCTTGTTTTTCTCCTGACGCCTTCTTTCGTGCCCTAAATCGAAATACAAGAATAATGAGTCCAATTAAGTACTAATTAAGTATAAAAAACTGAATATTTAGGGATAAAAATATGATAATTCTTATTCTCATCAAAGACCCCTGAAGTTGCCCATGCACTCATTGAGGAGATGGCTGTAAACAACTATCAGTGGCATTCCGAGAGAGCCCAAGTTAGGAGACAGCCCAGACTTCATAATGTAGACACATATACAGCACTATCTACACAAATCGGTGCCCTCATCAAGAAGATAGATGAAATGCAGATGGCAGCCATGCATGTTCAGACCATAGCTTGTGAATGGTGTAGGGGAGGTCATATCAGCACTGAATGTCAAATTGGAAATTAGTTCATGCAGTCCCCTGAACAGGTAAACTTTGTTGGTAATTTGCAAAGGTAGCATGGCAATCAGTACCCTTGTGCATTTAATCCCGGATGGAGGAACCACTCGAATCTGTCTTGGCAAAATCAAAATGCGGTGAAACCCTTTCCCCAAAATTTCAATCATCCGAAAAAGAAATCTAATCTAGAGGAGCTGATGACCAAGTTCATAGCAAGTGCTGAAACGAGATTTCAGAACCAAGAAGCATCGATCAAGAACTTGGAGACTCAAGTGGGGCAGTTCGCACAGATGATATCTGCTAGAGTACCAGGCACCTTACCCAGCAATACCGAAGCCAATCCAAGAGAGTAGGTGCAAGCCATTACTTTGAGGAGTGGTAAGGAGCTACAAGAGGTGGAGAAGAAGGCAAGTAGGGTGCAACCCTAGAAACCGAAAAGGAGGAAAAGCAATCTGATTCAAAGAAAGAGAAAAGTCAACAGCCGCAAGTTCCATTTCCGAGTAGGCTAAAGCAAGACAAACTGGAAAAGGAATTCGGTAAGTTTCTTGAAATTTTTAAGAGTTTACATATTAACATTCCTTTTGCTGATGCTTTAGCCTAGATGCCACTCTATGCAAAGTTCCTGAAGGAGATATTGGCAAACAAAAGGAAACTGGGAGACGTGGCTACAGTTGCACTGAATGAAGAATGCTCAGCAATCCTCCTCAACAAGTTGCCTCAGAAACTGAAAGATCTAGGAAGTTTCACTATTCCTTGCACTATAGGAAATTTGAAAATTAATAAGGCATTGTGTGATCTAGGAGCTAGTATAAATTTGATGCCATATTTGGTTTTTAAGAAATTAGGGTTGGGTGAACTCCAACCCACTAGAGTTGCATTACAGTTAGCTGATAGGTCCATCAAGCATCCTAGGGGAATCATAGAAGATGTACTTGTTAAAGTTGGCAAATTCATTTTTCCTGTGGATTTCATAGTTCTAGACATGGAAGAGGACGTTGATGTCCCACTTATCCTAGGGCAACCTTTCCTAGCTACGGGAAAGGCAACGGTTGATGTCCAACAAGGACAACTCAGCCTTAGGATTCAGGATGAGGAAGTAACTTTTAAAATGTCTGATGCAATGAAACATGCATCTTCTAGTGATGATTTGATGGGAATAAAAAGTATCATATTTTTATCCCCAAATATTCATTCTTTTATATTAAATTAGCACTTAATTGAACTCATTACTCTTGTATTTCGATTCAGGGCAAACAAGAAGGCGACAGGAGGAAAACAAGGCTAATCGGACGATTTTGCACAATTTCAGCACCATTCAGTAATCTGGGTATAACTCTCAAATCCGGACTCTGATTGGGATGATTCAAGATGCACCGGAAAGATAAGGGAGAACTTCACAACTTTCATTTTCTAGGTTTTGATAGATTAGGTCTGCATCGAGGTGAATATCAGGCCCAAAGTTGGAGAAAATTCATAGTAAAGCCCAGTTCACAGCTGAAGCCCAATTCGCAGAAAAGCCTTGTAGCAGCCCAATTTATTAAAGAAGCCCAACTCGAATTCAAGAATAAAGAGTCTCATCAGATTTAAATTTYGAATRTAATCCCAAGAAAGRTAAGAAGAGTCTCATCAGATTTAAAATTCAAATGTAATTCTAGAAGGATAAGAAGATTGAGATTACTAGATAAGAGATAGGAAAGGATTAGATCAAAACTGATTAGGACTTTCTATTTTCGAGGATAATCTCCTAAAGGGAGTTGGAAAACAGCCCTCCTCCTAAATCTATATAAAGGGGGGGTGGACTAGCTTCAGGGAGTCAATCAGTCCATCCATCTTGGAAGCAAAGTAAGAAGGAGTCGACAACCATGAGCGGCTGAGCTTTTCTTTTCTAATTCAAGGGGAATTGTTGATTCGATTGTGTCATCGTGAGGTTATGTGTTTAATTTAATTTCTTGATTTTAATTCAAGTATTCATTGATTCTTGTGCATGTTCTTATGGAAGTTAATGTTGATTAGTCTGACAAATTAATTAATGTTGATCTTCCTACTGCTATCCATAATTCGATGATCTGTAATTGTCACGAATAGTGGTACAAGTAGCAATTAGGTTAATATATTTTTGGATTAATTGTTCATGACAGCCTTTGACCAATGTATTGGCATGTTTTTACCTAAAGGGAATCAACAAAACAAGATTTGATAATTGTAGCTATCTCAATTATTTTTATTTTGGTTTAACTGTTTTCACGGAGGTTATTGCTATCATTAATTGATATGGAACGCTATCCTGCCCAGTCGGTCAATGATAAGTGTTGATCAAATGCTGTGTTTGGTCAACTAAATTAGGAAAACACGAGGTTTATTATGACTATCCTAATAAATCCGAAGGTTAAATTCTTGAATTGCAAGACTGCTGATTTTTTTTTCCTATGATCGATGACCAATTGACTAAATTCGAACCCTTGGATCAGAGTTGGTAAGACTGAATATTCCTTGTTAATTTTTATTTGCTCTTCAGTTATTTTAGAAATTTAACTATTCGAATTTCCCACTCTTTATATTGCTCATTCGGCTGAGAAATTAATTACTGGCTCCCTGTGGGATTCAACCTGGTACCACTGTTACTACAAGTTTATAATAAGGTGGGACTAGAATTAATTTTGAGGGCTTCGACAACCCGTCAAAATTTTGGCACCGCTGCCAGGGAGCTAATTTAATTTCTTAGCTTCTTGCCTTCTGTTTGTGTTAACATTTTTTGTTTTATGACTCGTTCTTCTCAAAAAGGTGAACTAGAATATATTCCTAAAATTGAGAGGACAACCCGTCATTTGAGAAGGGAGGCTAAGCAAAGGAAGGGTCGTTCACCTCCAAGGGTGAATTCTGATATTGACTTGACAACTGGTGATAGACCCATTTTCGAAGAGGAAGAAAGGATGGCTGATTGAGAAAGAACACTAAGGGAGTTAGCTGCACCAATCATGAATCAACAGCCTTTGTGCATAATATATCCCACTCTCGAGGTAGCTTTTGAACTTAAATCAGGTTTGATTCAACTACTTCCTGTTTTTCATGGTTTTCCAGGTGAGGACCCTCACAAGCATCTTAAAGAGTTCCATGTTGTCTCTTCAAGCATGAAACCATAGGGTATGACTGAGGATCAGGTAAAACTGATAGCTTTTCCTTTTACTTTATGAGATAAAGCAAAGGACTGGTTATACATTCTTCCCCCTGGTTCAATACGTACATGGGATGATATGAATATGATGTTTTTAGATAAATATTTCCCAACATCACGAGCTACAAATATTAGAAAAGAGATTTGTGGGGTAAGGCAGTTTAGTGGTGAGACATTATACGAGTATTGGGAAAGGTTTAAACAACTCTGTGCTAGCTGTCCACACCACCAAATACCTGAGCAGCTCTTAATCCAATACTTCTACGAATGACTCCAACCTATGGATAGAAGTATGGTAGATGCAGCTAGTGGAGGAGCCTTGGTCAACAAAACACCTGAGGCGGCTAGGGAATTGATTTCCAACATGGCCGAAAACTCCCAACAATTTGGAGCAAGAACAGAAGGAGCTACCAGACGTGTTAATGAGGTAAGCCATTCTAATATGGAAAGTCAAATTTCTGATCAAACTTCTTTGGTTCGTCAATTGGTTGTAGGGCAATTACAAGCAGCTAAGGTTAGTGGCATATGCTCGATTCTTAGGCATCCTACGGATATGTGCCCATCATTACAAGATGGTTCGATGCATCAAGTAAACGCCGTAGGAGGATTTCCGGGCCAACCTCAACGCAAGTATGATCCCTATTCTAACTATTACAATCCTGGGTGGAGGAATCATCTCAATCTGAGCTACGGAAATCAAGGAGGGCCACAGAGATTCCAGCCTCAAGCTTTCAACAGACAACCTCCAATTCCAGCACCTACCCAAGCTCAAAATCAACCCTCAAGTTCAGGTATGTCTTTAGATGAGATAGTTAAGGCTCTAGCGACTAACACTCAGCAATTCCAATAAGAAACAAGGGCCAACATCTAGAACTTAGGGAACCAAATCAGTCAACTTACTACTTCTATTAGCAAGTTGGAGGTGCAAAACTCTGGAAAACTACCATCACAGACGGTGGTCAATCCCAAGGAGAATGCGAGTACAGTGGTGTTGAGAAGTGGAAAGGAATTGCAGTCACAACCTACTTCACCAAGGAAAGTGGATAAAGAGTAGAAAGAAGAGGAGGAACAAGAATCACATGAGAGTTCCCATAAGGTAAAATCTGATTCCCCTCTATCTATGATTTCTAATGCCATTGTGCCACATTTTCCTAGTAGGTTGAAAAAATCTAAGAAAGAAGAATACAAGCAAAAAGTCTTCGAGACCTTTAAAAAGGTGGAGATAAATATTCCCTTGTTAGATGCCATTAAGCAAACCCAAAATATGCGAAATTTCTGAAGGAGTTGTGCACTAACAAAAGGAAGCTGAGAGGTGATGAGAAGGTAAAGGTTGGGGAGAACGTGTTAGTTGTCATCAAGAGAACCCTGCCAGAAAAGCGTGCTGATCCAGGTATGTTTACTTTACCTTGCGTGATTGGCAAGAAAAGAATTGAGCATGCCACGCTAGATTTAGGTGCATCTATCAATGTCATACCATACTCAATGTTAGACAGTTTTGTATGCCCTTAGCTTCAATCAAGAATGATGTACTTTATGAATTTATAAAAGTGCATATTTGATTCATGTTCCCTTGGTATGTTTCTGTGTAATACCCTTAAACTGGACACTTAATGAGACTCGTGTTAGTTTAGAATGTTCATAGCCAGTGGATCGGTCTGGGGAGACCTATCTTGACAAGGCTGACACTAT